TGTCTCACCCTAGATCTGGAGATTCATACCAGCTGGCCGCCTGTTTTATTATAGCCGGGTGGGGCAGTTGAAGCTCCCGAACTTCACTGGGAGACAAACATGAATGAGCGAAAATGTGTACGACACAAGCAGAGCTCCCCGGTTGGCTGATTTTGAATATGACGTCGAGAACAAAATCGAACTGTACTCTAAAACGTGAGTGACTACCTACTAAACATTTCTGAATGGAAATGCTTAGCTATGCTTCATTGTTATCATTGAGTGAAATTTGACAATTTCAAAATGAATGAAAGAGTCATTTACCCTGAAACTTCTCCTAAATGCCTCTCTCTCTCTCTCTTCTGATCAATCTTGCGTTCGTTTAGATTTTTTTGCACCACTCTTTTCTTTAGGTCGTTTGTTGGAGGGCCATTAGATTCGCGAAAATTGGCCGATTCTTTTGTATGCGAAATTCTCGTTTTTTTTATTTCTTTTCGTTAGAATCCGCTATACATGTGGTTTGGATAGCAACAGCGGCGCATCGTAGCTGGGTTCAATACTTAACACGGAAACAAGCTGAGCGTTCTGGGATGCGATTGAGGCACATCCAGCCATCCACAGTGACAGGGCCTATACCAACTACAGAGTTTGACAGTAGGCAGCATGTCCCGGGCCCAGTCACTCATTTTGCTGTGCCTACGCGATAATGACATCCTGGGCATATCCATATACGGATGAGGAGCTTTTTTTAATAAATTAAATTAGTTTCTCTATCAATGCAAGAAACGTGTTAAGGTTACTGCTGATTATATGCATATTCATACTGATGTTAAAGTTAAAAAAAACAACCAAGGTACTGGGTACTGCGTCATTCTAATTGAGCGATATTAACATTACCGTCAAACTATAATTTGACGGTTATGGTTAAGATTCTTACTTTTATGGACTTACATTGTTTATGAATAAACGTGAACAAGGTCAAATACAAGACAGACAAAATCCGACAGGCATCTAAGAGAAATTCCTTCGATCTGCATTGGACTAGTCTGGAAGACTTTCGAGAAGTCCCGGATCGACCCTTGAGTAATGCTAAGGTGATTTCATAAGCAAGTCCACAGTACACAAGACTAGAAGAATTAATCGTGCATTTTCTAAAACAAGTACAAAAGACTCACACAATTATGGAGAACTGCTACTGTTTTACTTGAGAGAAAACACGAACTCGTCTAATTCTATGATTTTTTTTATTAGACGAGGTATACATTCCCCCGGACAGAACGTATTCGTTATGAGTCAGGTAACACAGTAGTGATTTCAGAAAATCAAGAAAAAGCGAATTTCAAAGGCATGCTTTGAATATTTCACGGGTGCACTAAGGTTGGTTCACATAAGTATAAAAGGAAGCTTGTAAGATCTTTTATAATGTTAGTCTGTAGTACTACTCTAGTCTAGAACAAGTACAGTTAATAAGTTATAGACCAAACACATAGGACTATGTAAGCAAGTAATATCAAATAACCTATTCAATAACCTCTCCTCTCGACGCCCTCAGAGTACCTGAACCATATTAAATAAAAATCTGGGACACTCAAACGTCAACGTGTAAAATTGAACGATTATTGGAAACTTCCTGAGAATTTTAAGACAAAGTCCGTGAACTGCACGAATCAAAAACATTTAAAGGAATGTTTAAACAACAGGATAATTATAGTTGAAGGAGCTAATTTCAAATAACAGACTAAAGTGGTAATTTTTATAAGATAGATGAAGAGATGAAAATATAGAGTTGATAGTTCCGTTTAGAGTACGGCAGTGTGAAAATTGTATATAGAGAGTAGAAAGCGAGCAAGGACAACTTTGAGGAAGGTACGAATCGGGTTGATCATCTCTCTCTCTACCAAACTCCCCAGTTGGAGAGGGATGGTGAGGGGTATCCCCAGAAGTTGAAAGGACGTAGTCAGGGCAGTTCTCAATTGTTGGAAATAGTGCTACTTACATCTGAGAGGCCGAGGTCAATCCCAAATGTTGGTCAATACGGTAACGGATGAAGGTGGAAATACGCTCAAACAATGGTCTAGGAATTGTACCACCTATGAATTTGTGCAACTTGCTGAATGTGAAACCGCAGAAGTCCTTCAGGAGAACTAAACCAGAGGATGCGGATTAATCTCCCCGGCGATGGAGAATTACAGGCATCAGAGATTTCAGAATTACTAATTGAATCTGGTCTAGTCTTGGAACATTCTGGGCACGTTTCTAGAGTCGCATAGATCAAACTCAAAGTCCCCAAAAACATACTCACGTGCCAAAAAAATCAATTTATTCTCAAAGTCCTCTGAAACTCCCAAGCTCACTAATCCTATCTCCAGAGACCTTCATACATGCTCCAAAAATCCATTAGACCCCCATTTGCCTTTGAAGTGTCCTCTGAACGCGTCAACAGGGTCTCCATATCGAACCCTCCAAAGTCTTGCAACAGGCCAAGAACGAAACTCTTCCGTATTTGTTCAAATAAATTTTAGAGGTGATAGTAAGATCAATCAGATATAACGTTTAAAACAGCGATTACCCTTTGCTCGAGAGAAAAGAATTTGAATGTTGGATGTAGCTGATTGTCTTTATTGTATGACAAAGTAGTGCTCCACCCCTGAGTGGTGCGGAGTTGATCACTTTCAATTATCAAGTTATTGTGCTTAAAAATATTGATTGTCTTGCTTTTGTCTACATCCTCTCAACACCGCTCACAAATTGGTGCCTTTTTCAGAGCAAAAATGAGAACTTGCTCGTGACTTTCTCACTATTTGATTTCAATTGCTTGAATGAACCAATATTTTGTAAAGTTCGAAATAAGCTTTAAAATGGTTATCTAGTAAAAAACTGATCAATAGCAAGTCAAACGGTCGAATATGCTTTTGCTGCTTTCCCTCAGATTCGTTTATTTTTTGATGTTTAAGTTTTTTTTGTTGAGGGATGTTCACAATGATTAGTGATTATTGCAATGAAATAATCGACCATCATTAAAAGATACACTTGTTTTATTACTTTTCCATTTTTATTTAAGGATTTCATTTTGAGAGTTAATCCTAATATGTACTTTATGTTTCGAACGAATCCGTTTAAAGGATGTTTCGAACGAATCTGTTTAAGTCTTGATCGTTGGATTTTTTTTACAGCGCCAGTTAGAATTTTTATGACAACCATTTTGAGTGACTCCGCAGCACGTAGTTCCACCCTATATAATAAACACGAAAATGTGCTTTTTAAATTGGATCGCATCACGAATGTTGACTGTTCCACTCAATTCGGCTCCTTTAAAAGTTGTCACATTGTCGTTACAACTGAAAACTGGAAAAATCCACTATCGAAAATCGATTTTACTCTCGTTCTATACGTTAAACAAAGTGTCGGAAGTAGTGCGCTGTAATCGCACAATGATGCGCTATAATGCGCACTGCTTCCGATTTTCGCTAGCAAAATTTTCCTGTTTTACCAGCTGTAACTTTTAAAAACCAAAGGGATTCACAATCATACGGAAATGGTTGCGACCCAAATCGCTTCGACTGTCGCACCCATTGAAGTCACCACCTTATCGGTTTTGCAGGTCTTCCATACTCGAAGGCGAAGCTAAGTGGACACAGTCCTACTAGGTACCTACTGAAACTAATATATGCGCGATGATTATATTGATTTGTCGTCGTCGCGAAGTAAAAACATCGTCAAATTGTAATCACGCAATTACTCCACTGACAAACGTTTACGGCGAGGGATGGAATCGCGCGATTAGTGTTTGTTTTTTGCCAGCGAAATGGACAAAAAACGACTCATGAGTGGTATGTGTCAGGGGGAGAAGTTACACCTGAATCCAATGTATGTTCAGAGGAGGATGTTTACTCTTTTTTGCTTGATTCTTAACACTCACTGTAAAGCCACTGCCGTGCTCGAGAATCGAATGACTCAAGTTCACCTGTATACTAGTTGCAGTTCAAGTTTGTCGATTTTCTATATTTAATACTAAATGGATAGACAGTTGTTCTCGTAATAGGTTGTTATGATGATATTGAATTGAATTTTGCCTAATCGTATACAAAAAATAAATAATAAATAAAAAATAATAAAACAAATATAACAAAAAATAATAATAGACAAACTACCACTTTTAATATTCTACGAAATCTTAATTTACTGAAGCCAAAGAGCTCTGATTTTAAATTTGATAGATCTTACACGATTGTTTGGAAATCTCGCAATCGCTGTCATTATCGTAGAAAATTCAATTTTACTAATACATAATTAATCAGGAGCTTTGAAAATATGTTATAAGTACCACTAGCTTTAGAAAATTATATTTCAGTATTGCCAGTATACTGACAAAAATTGTGATTACACAAAGTTCGTTCTAAAGCAAATTGAGTATGTGCAACTCACGGCTTATAAATAGGCTCTCAACCTTGTTCTTCGTTGAACTTTAGATTTTTATTTCAAATCTTGACTCTTAGATCATGTCTGTATGTTTGAAGATTGTTTTATTTTTAGAAGATGTTTCGATAATGGTACAACTAACTACAAATTTCCATTGCTGGATGCAGTATAAAAATCTCTTAAATGTCCTGTAGACTGTCTCAAACACGCCTTAAGGGTCCAAAATTGGTAAATCACGCCACATTTCTTCCAACTTTCATCACTTTCACGTCGCAGCAGCTTTTCTACTGGGTTTCAAATTCACATGTTTTCGGAATTTGCTTTTAGTTCGCCAGTTCCCGCTTCAACATGGCGAAAGCCTATGTGAAAAATCTGCCCATTGGATGTACACGGTTCGGTTGGCTACCAAAGCTAATACATAATTACAATTTTGCCATTTCCCACATCAGCCATCCATCGTCCCGACTTTCGACGAACCCAATCTTAAAATTAAAACCGCGGATCAGGGGAGGTCGATCCCCTCTGGTGAGTTTGCCAAGTCTTCTATTTCGCATTTCCGTTCGTTTTTATTTCACTAGTAATATTGACTCAATGGAACTCACCGTTTATTCAGTAAACGATTGTTGATGAACTTCTCACTGGATTCCTTGTGCTTCCTAAAAGCTTTCTAGCTTATTGCAGGATTTGAACACCTTCTCACTAGTAAGTCCGGAAGACTACTGAACTACCCAGCAGACTGCAACAGTTCAGATCAGAGCGGTCAGCAGAGCTCAGAAGGATCTTCAACTTCTCACAAACCAACACTCACTGGTTCTCTTCTAAACACGCTCACACACACTGTTGGCTTCGGCTGGATCACACCACTTTTTTATCAGGGTGCGCAGAGGAACGGTTGTTATTGATCTTCACTCTGCTATAGGTTGCACTCTGTTATCACTTGTTTTTGTTTCGATCACTTCTTTGCTCTTTTTTTTTTCGAAATCACTAGGATGAATTATCACACACACACTTTTACCTTAGTCAGCTGGAGGAAGCTGGGTGCGGTTGTCAAGGGATAATCCGTTGATCTGTGAGATTTCTGCTCCTTCTAGATGAACGATCTGAACGCGTTGAAGCACGGCTTCAAACTAAACCTTCTTCATGGAATTGACTTGTACTTATTTACTTCCGAAAGAGGGGAATGTTCCTCTCACTCACTCTCTTTCTGTTTACTCTCCTTCTTTAACACTCTCCCGTTTCATGAAATTGATAACTTCACTCCTCCACGCGTCACGCCACACACTAGACACCGTGTCGTTGTTATGTACTCTGCCCACCGGCGTGTTTCAGTGGTCTTTCTCCAAAATGTTCTGAATCAGCTAGAAACAAGCACAAGAGAAAGCAAAATGTCAGTTATTTTTATCCAAAACAATGCCAGACGGTACGTTGTTGCGACTGCTATGCATACTCTAGTTAGTATGTACCTACTGCTTTTCAACGACAGAAACTGCATATAAATTGCATAATAGTGCTATTGCATTCCGTTGATAAGAGATGGAACACTCGTGTAGTTCAATGCTATCTATTGATGCATTTGCTAGGTACACATCCATGGATTTCCTACATGATCAGTGGATCGGCTGATTTGGCTTAACAACTGCTGCACACAGCTAACATATGACGCTCGGAAACATTTCAAGGACAAACAACCGGGCGATGATGCTGTGTCGATGACGAGTGCTATTACTGATGATGATGTGTAAACTTCAGGGAATGAATGATACTACGTATGCAGTGAATTGAACAAGAGGGGAGCACTTGCGTGATCGTGGCTGCTTGGCAAGTGACACGATAGGGTATGTACACGCTTTGCTAGTAGTAGGTACTGCGTTAGCATAACACGCATTCATAGTGTGATACGACGACTGGACAGCAGATACTAAAATACTTACTGAAAGTGATCGTAGCGTGTTCGACGTTCGTATATTTTGTCTTTCTTCTTAGAAAGATTTCTTCGCCCTTGCACGTGGTAAGATCACCGACAAACCGACATGAATTACCATAGCAAAATAATAACATTTCTGACCAAACCACACTACGGAAAATATTTAGCTAAGCCATGAACCCGCCTGCAAAAGTTATGACTTGGTTCGTGTCTGATCTATTCTGGACAAATTATTTTTATCTAGATCAAAAAATCGTATGGTTTTGACAGTTCGGATCACTGCACATTTAAATCGGCCGTTTACGATTTTCGGGCATAAGTCAGAACTAAGTTTCATGTCGGTTTGTCGGTGGTAAGATTTCTATTAGAGTTCTAGTGAAGACATAGGACTGGCAACTTTTCCAGAACACAATCCTAATAAACCATAAACGAACCACAGACAAACAGACATAATGCTCGCATGTTGTTCTTCGATCTTGCATTTAACGGTCCTTGGCTAAAAATCTCTATAACAAAGAAAAAAAAAATTTAACGGTCCATACCGTGGACCAACGGAAATCTTACCGTTTTTAATCTGAACACTTTATAGCATGAACCTCGCTCATCTGCATGCTGTGCAAATTCAAAATTGTTCAAACGTCATTCAGCACGGATAAACCCGTCACTGTGGGTAAGCCTGTCACCCCATCAATTTGACTAGAAATCAGTTTTAGTGCAACTAAATAAACACAGGTCATTTTTCTATTCATTATTTTGAGCTTTTCGAGATACATTGGACCCACAATGAACTGTCAAATGCTAAGAAAATAAACAAAACATACACAAGCATCTATCGTGTGCTTGTCACTTTTTGTAATAAACAGTAATTAATAACATAACCTATTCAAGCCATGCTACCACTCAAATTTTTTTTTCAAAACTGTCTAGATATGGGCTCTGCAACAACCAAATTAGCTCTACATTATCCTAAAATAGTCCTAATGCTCAAGGGTTTGGGCTTATACCCAGTTCCCCTACATGGAATGGAGAAAAAAACAGCAAATAAGGCTACCACAAACTCGCTTTTCTGATGGTCGTAGGGTTACTAGAAGTTCAAATTAAAAATGAACCACCTTAATATGCACGAAGTGCCCTTCAAATTAACGGAGATCCACGGTATGAATGTTTCTTAGTTGGTAGTACTACCGCCTGTGGAGCGCAGAGTCAATTCCCTTGCTTTTAAGTTTTACACATTACCGCCATCTATTTAGCGTACTATCCGTCACAGTGTACTCAATAGATGGCGATTTACAGTAAAAAATATTCTATGTATCATGTCTGTTTATCTGTGAACTAACTACTTTCCGATTGGTAAAGTTATTCCACAAATAATCTGGAAGATTCCCTGAGCACCTGGCCACTTTGCGAGAATTTAAGCGATAGATACAGTAGCGCTGCGCTAGAGCGAAGGTGAAAGCAACCATGCTTGGCATGCACAGTTGTACACACCAGCTACTCATTTGTTAATAACTTTTCACTCAGTTGTTGAAATTTTGTTTTCTTTAAAGTAATTGATAGATTAGCATCATAGTTAACTGTAGACATCCAAAGAGTAGGTCAATCTTATTATTTGAATCAACACCAATGAATGTTTACACTTAAAATCCGAGATGTGCATCGAGCATTTCTCACTTCACTTTTGCAACGCAAAAGCAAATACAGTTTATTACTAGAATTAAATTCTCCTTGTTTTTACAAGCTTAAACTCTATTCTATCGACTTCTTTAAACAGAACTATGTTTTGTCAACTCTGTGCAAAGTTATTAGCAAATGAGCAGTTCCTGAGCAAAACTGTGTATGCCAAGCATGAAAGCAACGGATAAAAAAATTATCAAATACTCAAATCTTTCTTCTGAGCAGTGTTGGTAAAATATCAAAAAATCAAATCTCACCAATGCCCAAGATCAGGCTTGATTTTCGTAGACAAAAATCGACACGTAAACAATAGCGGTTGATATTGCAAGCTGTGATATTGCAGCTCAGAAAATCAAGCCAACAAAATCCACCAGCTGCAAATCTCACCAAACTGTGGTGAGATTGAGTTTCATGATTTTGCTTTACACCCGAACGCAACTTCAACTTCCATAACGACTGGTAGCAGTCGCTTCGTGTCTGCCAACGGTGAAGAAAAAAAAAAAGAGATAGCATTATTATACCTTCTCTTTCTAATAAGAAAACGAGGTGCAACGGAATCATTTTTGCGTCGATTCAACTCTCAGCTTCAACTTTACACGTTGTGAGTAGTCTCGTAATATAAAAGGAGCTTGTAAAATCAATATCGAGCATGCTATTTTGCTCCAATATCATGCGTGATATTGAGGGCGTATGAGAGCGGAAAATATAATTTGATTGATGATTTTGCCAACACTGCTTCTGAGCTTGGAACCTTTGCTATCGAATTTGTTCGGAGCATTTACCTTTGAGCGGCAGATTGTGCCTGTCTCATAGCGATTGTTTGAGAAAATGGGAGAGTTGACAGTCTTCCTGATATGTTGTCTTTGCTATTAGGGTGTCGGCTCAATGAAGGAATCCAAATTCCCTGATATTCCGTGATTTTCCAGTAGCTTTAAAAAAAAAATAGGATCAGTGCCTGCCCGTTTTGGCAACACAATCTCATCACATTACTTTCTGGAGTTTTTTTTCATCAAATGGACCATATGGACCTCTAACTCATGAAGAGTGGCCAGTGATGAAGAGTACAATCGAGTGTTGCCAAAAACGGGAAGGCACCGAATTTTTCTAAATTCACAAATTTTAAACGTGGTAAGCGCCAGGTAATCAGTTCAAGCAGTGAATGTGTGAAGGAAACTGCAAACATCTCAATATTAATCTACAAAAAAGGCTTGCTTAATCGCTTAAAGTTTTCAGCAAGTTTGTGGTCCATTTCTTACCTCGATTTACTTCATGATACGAGAACAGATCCTTGGCATGGCAATTTTCTCACCCTTAGAAGTTCTTTTCTGACTTTTTCCGAACTCAACGCTAGGAGCAGGAATTCACCCAGTTCTCCTACATCTTACATATGAAACACTTGTTTTTAATGCCATTATATTTGTTTCCTTTGAGCACATTTTCCGGTGGGAAATCGTAAAAACAGTACACGAATATTACTCAGAGAGTGAGTCACTTTTTCTCATTCGTATGGAGAAATTTCTAGAAACGTTGCGCTGAGTGACCTACGCTTTTAGAAATTTTACTGTATGAATGAGTAAAAGTGACTCACTGTCTGAGTAAGTTTCGTTTTCAGTGCATTTTCATCTTCAAAAACCTGTAAATTAATTCTATCTCAATTGCAATTGCAGCAACATCACAATACTAAAACTTAACTGAGAAGCTAATTTTCCAAGCTATACAATAAAGACCTAGAGGATACCTAATAAAGTCAATCTCTGTAGTCAAGGCAATGCTTGGCTACGTATATTTGAATAATTTTTCAATCATAAAAGTGATAGTCAAAGCAGTACAAGAAATCCATCCAAGCATGAACATTATTTTAAATGATCATTTAGTTTATTCTCTAAGCTAATCAAGTTGTTAAGAATACAATAAGGAACAAGAACTACAAGTATGTAGGTATTCAGAAAAAAATCATCTTCTCTAAACTATTAACATTGCATTTACTCAAAGGCGCTCCATTGGAGGATTGATTTTTGTTGGACGCAGCTGACGCACCGCAATACTCGAAGGTTAATTTTTGTCAGACGAAATTAGGTTTAACGTCTATTAGGAGACACATATACCCATTTGGACGTTAAATTTTGCAACAACTAACAATGTTGTTGTTACGGTCAAATAAAAAGGCGCGGCACAGTTATTGAACAGCGTTTATTCCGGTTTTGGATCGCTTCAAACTAGAAATTTAAGTTAGAGTTAGTTTAGCAATGTAGGTTTTTTTCCTCTGTTCGGGACCTAGTAAATTGATTTATTGTAGTATATCCCGTGTCCTTAGTTTAGTGCATGTCGTATAACTCCATCACTATTGAGAAATGATGAAGTATTCGATTTTTTTTGCAGTTTCCACTCTTGCATTTATCGCAAGGATCCGACTCTAATTGAAAGGTACAGCTATTTATACACTTCGGAGTGTTGGAACACCCTCCAAGGGCGCGCCCCTTTGTCAGTCAAAATTGGATTCCTTAGCAACAAAATTAAGGTATGACACCGATAATGACCATGCCCTAGTCTTAACCACTTCAAACTAGGGAACAACGAATAGAAGATTAGGAATCACATAGATGAAGACAACTAACTCATTTTTTCCTTGTTTCAAGATCATCCTCGGTAGACAAAGCCGAGTCTTGTCACTATCAACAAGGCATAAAAAGTAACAAGGACTAAGATGTGTTCCTTGGATTACTGAAAAATCCTGTTCCCCTAGTTTGAGGTAGACAGGACTAGGAATCGGTGGTATATCTTACATCCTGTTACGTACCACGAAAAGGTGATCTACCCACATTACGGGGCAATGTAGGTTTAGTTTATAGGTTACCACTTAAAAACCAGTGGCCCTTCCTTCTCAGGCCTTTCTCTGGCTGTCCAACTTAGTTTTAGTTTTAGGTAGAAATCAATATAATTAGGTTTAAATTCACACTGTAGATTTTAGGATTATTTACCGTTGCGTATTCACCGGTGGAACTAGATTAATAAATGAACTATTTTAAACACTAGATTAAGAAAAATACTTTTTCACCCGCGTGATTCTTCGTCCGCTTGATTTATTCATATTCCATTCGGATGACGTCTTTTCTGGTGACGTTTATGCTGTCGATGCCGTCGCACGTAGACTGGCGGTCTACTTGGCAGTTCATTGGATCGGTTACCAGTTCGCCGAGTGCGTTAGAGAGTGCCCCTTTGGCAACATCCTCCCCCGGGCGCGTTCCACTGGACTCCATGACCGCACTGTTATTCTCAACGTCGAAAACCGCTAACTTTGGTACCGGTCGGCGCAGAACTCGTCTCGCTGTCTTGACTTGACCATAGCTTGGCGAATGTGCCTTCAGGTGCCTCGATCGATTCGATCACGATGCATACGTCTGCTATCAGCACCAGGTCGTCAACTTCCACGCGTCGAGCTTCGTCGAACCACTTAGTCTGGTCTGCTTCCGAATCACCGGCAGGTACTCTTTCAGTCAGCGTTGCCAGAACCGGTTGAGTTGCCGCTGGATGCGGTCCCATGAGTCCCGAGAAGCCCGCTACTGAACATCGATACCCACGCTTAACTGCTTCACCCCGTTCGAGCTCCCGAGTAGGAAGTGGTTCAGCGTAAGAGCGTCTGATTCCGTGGAATCTAGTGGTATGTACGTGAGTGGTCTGGTCCAATGCCCTCTGCCTCTACGATAACGGTTTGCAGCTCTTCATAGTTGAGTTTCCCTATTGCCGCCTTCACTGAACGAATGAGTCGCTCAAACGCTCCTTTCACGTTTGGAGCACTCGGTGGAATGAAGGTCCACTTCGTGTTCTCGTTGGTGAACGTTGCAGTCGTTCGGCCACGTGGAAGTTCGTAGCGTTGTCGCTGTAGAATTCCATCGGCGATCCTCGGCGGCAGGCGAATCTCCGGCTGCTGTGCTGGCAAGTGCCCCCGTGGTAACAAATGTCTAGCGTCTAAGGATTTTTATCAACCCTCAGGAGATCAGTTCAACTCAAAAATGTGCCAACACGCAGTGGAAGCTGAATTAATAGGCCCAACATAATCAAAATACCCTTTTATTTGAGTAATTTGCCACAACTTCACAACTCAATTTTAAATTGCATCATCCCTTACTAATGTAAATACACATGCATGGACCTAGTCCCATTTTCATAGTTCTGGGACTCAACAATAGAATTAAGCCACAAACCAAAAAAAAATCGTTTGAACTACACTTTTATTTGGGTTCCATCCGTACGCTGATTGTTGCCATGGTGCCCTAATTGCCAAATAATTCAATGAGTTTCCCATGCTTTTCGAAACTACCCGATAACTCCAGGATTTCCCGATCTTTTGCAGGTTTCCATCATGTAAGCAAACTGGGTTTTTTTTACAGATTTGTTCTAATTCGAAAAACTACGGATTTGGATTCAGCAATTGAGGAAGGGATCGACTCTATCTAAGTTACTGGAAAAACTTTGCTTTGCTGTAGTGAGAAACGCGCACACTTAGTAGATAGAAGGAAGCTTGATGAAGAATTTGAAGATTTCCTGCAAAAAATTGGAGATCACCGCGAGTAGATGGATTTAGATGCAAGAGATGAAAACAGATTATTCGCAGATTGATTCGCTATCATGAGATTTGTTGACGATCTTAAAACTGAGATTTAGATGTGTCGCACCCCACGGCAATTGATATTTTTGGCGAACTGAATGTTGATTACTTAGCCGTTCTAATCTCTTCAAAATATTTTATGAGTTCGGTAGGTAATTTTAACTAAATAATTTCTAAATTAAGGTGAAAGTAGAATCCACAAATGGCCGCTATTATGGTTATTTTGCCTTGACACTTCGAATTTTTGACGGCTCGAATCTCAGAAACTATAAAGATTTCGTGCAGGAAATTGTAAACACATGTATCTTTGCTTCCTGGGAGCAAAAACATGATTATAATTTCGCACACGAGATCTTTATAGTTTCTGATATTTGTGCATCATACATTTGAAGTGGCAAGGCAAAATAATCAGTGATCATTTGTGGATTCTATCAACTTTCACCTTAACACTTGAATTTGATATGACAATATGTAACCCTACATGGAATTATATGTAACAACCACTACCGAGTTCCTTTCGAACACTGGTCGATTAACAACAAAATGAGTTAAGGTGCAATTTACTAAGTTGCATTTTCCAAAAAGCTTTCGTCATCCTATGTAACATGACAAGACTGCTTTTTGCAATCTTAAACGATGCGGCGATAAAAACTGGATTTATTTTTTTGGAAAATGAACCAAAGTATAAATTACCCTACTGAAAACTGTTATTTTCATTTAAATTGTTTAAATTAATTCATCACATTGCATCCTACCGTTCATTGCATAGCAAAAAGATAAAAATAGTCGGAAATCGATATCGCTATACGGCTAGGATGTAGCGCATTCATTATTGCCACACCAGTCTATGCGTATAATATATACGTATTCTAATTGAAGAATAATTGAGACTGCCCACTTCACAATCTCGTTTCCACGCGTGGAACAAAACTTTCCGTAATACGGCATTCTTATTAAAATAATGAATCACAGACACACACTACGAAACTGTACTTGTTATGCGTAAACCAAAGGTGGAACAAACATTACACTACAAAATGCGTATATCCCAATCCAATGTTTTAGTTGTTAAGCTGAAACTACAAAAACATGGTCGCTCACTTAGTACTGTGTGCAAAATATACAAATGCTATAGGGATAGTCACACTATAAATCGCTAGTCGTAGCAATACACGGATTTTCCTCTGTCCTTGGGAAGTATACACCAACACAACTGGCATTAGGGCAGGGTGGGATACTAAATTTCCCGACACACACATATATCCTTCAGCTATTGATGTCTCGATGAAGGGCAAAGGCCTTATGCGGCTCCGTCTATCACCAACCACCAGAGTGGGTGGATGGCTGCCGTTAATATGCCTCCCACCGTCCTAGTCTGGTTAGTCCCTTTTAAGCTGAGTTACTCTTTCGTCGAACATTTACCGGCTAGGAAGATATGTACTTATGTGATTTATCCTACTTCAGTATCGATTAATGCGCTAAGAAAATAGCGGAGCGATGGAGAAAATTCTAAGTTTTCGGAAAATGTGTTGCCTAGCAGTTTAAATCAGTGCAGCATCTCATCCTAAAGCAATATAAATTTTCGGAAAATGATCTTACCTTCTTGTGAACGATCGCCAGCTAAAGAAATAGCTTTTCTCGCTTGTTGGGATCACTTTTTCGTTGCTACCGACACGAATAGATAATCAACTGGTTTTTACCGAATTTATTTTTCTCACTGTTATCTCTTTGTTAAAAGCAATTAAAAATGCACTTGATTTGTCACTGTGGTGTAACGACACAGGGTAACACGCCACCGCTCTCGAATGCTGATATCTGAGTAGTGAAAAAGGTGATCGAAATGTGCATGGGTTGCTGCTGTCTAGCTTGTAGTTTGCGTTTGTGGTGGCGTGGCGGCGTGGTGAAGAAACGCGTTTCACGGAAGAGAAAGAAAAAGAGCGAGAGAGCGGGAAAAGAGAGAAAGTTCACGTTTCACCTGATTCCGCCCGCCACCCACCGCCAACAGCCGCTAACAAGCCAGAAGATGGCTGAGTGGCTGGTGGCCGCCGTGGCCGCATGCATGCATGCATGCAGAGAGGGGAAACGATTTTCGCAGAGAGCAAAACATCGTACGATAAAAATTGTATGAGAGAAAATGACGCCATGTGTAGAGTGATTGCTAGATTGAGATATGCCTCGACGAGGTTGAGCATGGCCAACAGTGGACGATATTCACTTTATAACAGGTTACTAACCATAATAATTTATGACTGGGTTTACCCTAGATGATGTAAAAGAATTGAATCAATTCCCAACTTACAACCTAAGGAGCTTCTCTAAGCTCAGCCGGAAACCCTAATAAATAAATACCATAAACGAACAGTATCCTGGATAGGTAAACTATCCCACAAATGGTTTAGATGATACCCCGAACAAGTCGTTAAGCTCTTTTTTATCGTTATTTTTATTAGGGAATGCACAGCTACGGGAATTACCACAATAGCGCGGTGGGTGCTATTCCTCGGGGGTTTCTATTTATGGGGCCTTCCTTAGCTCAGTTAGTAAAGGCGCAGTTATAAAGCTAAACCATGCTAGAGTATAGATGGAAAGAACCCTAGTAAAATGTGTACCTATGGTTATTTTGCTTAACGACGTTTCGGGGTATCATCCAAACCATCTGTGGAATAGTTCTATCATTTGAGTTATCGTTCGTTTTTATTATTTGTATTATTGGTATTATTTTTATTTTCATGCAGAATCTGTAGATTTCCTGCAAAAAGATGGATCGCGATGCGAGAAGATGGATTTCGATACGTGAAATGAAAAAAAAATATTATTCGTGGATTGATACGCTAGCGTTACATTTTAGGGCATTTTAGGATTGAGATTGAGATGGGTCGTTACCCCTAGGTTTATTCAAGTATGACCGAACGCTGTCAAACAAACCGATTCACCTGCTGCAATTAAGGAATTCGTTTTTTTTTTTGGCAGCGCAGGAATTTGACGTTAAACTCAAAAAATTTATCACATAACTAATGGATGAAAACGCCCCGTAACGTGGGTAGATCACCTTTTCGTGGTACGTTACGGGATGTAAGATCTACCACCGATTCCTAGTCCTGACTACTTCAAACTAGGGGAACAGGATTTTTCAGTAATTCAAGGAGCACATCTTAGTCCTTGTTACTTTTTATGCCTTGTTGATAGTGACAAGACTCGGCTTTGTCTACCGAGGATGATCTTGAAACAAGGCAAAAAAATGAGTTAGTTGTCTTCATCTATGTGATTCCTAATCTTCTATCCGTTGTTCCCTAGTTCCTGACTACTTCATACTAGGGGAACAGGATTTTTCAGTAATCCAAGGAGCACATCTTAGTCCTTGTTACTTTTTATGCCTTGTTGATAGTGACAAGACTCGGCTTTGACTACCGAGGATGATCTTGAAACAAGGCAAAAAATGAGTTAGTTGTCTTCATCTATGTGATTCCTAATCTTCTCTTCGTTGTTCCCTAGTTTGAAGTGGTTAAGACTAGGGTTCTGATGCATGGTCATTATCGGTGTCATACCTTAATTTTGTTGCTAAGGAATTCAATTTTGACTGACAAAGGGGCGCGCCTTTGGAGGGTGTTTCAACACTCCGAAGGGTATAAATAGCGGGACCTTTCAATTAGAGTCGGATCCTTGCGATAAATGCAAGAGTGGCAACTGTAAAAAAATCGAATACTTCATCATTTCTCAATAGTGATGGAGTAATACGACATGCACTAAACTAAGGACACGGGATATACTACAATAGATCAATTTACTGGTCGCAGTAGTGTTAGGTCCCGAACAGAGGAAAAAAAAAATGGATGAAAACCATGTGAATTTCACATAGCTTTCATGTGATCACATAGCTAGAAATCCCACCACAAAATCACATGAATATTATGAGGCCGATGAAATTCATATGAAAAATCATATAAAATTAACGTGATCGCATAAATGTTATGTGAAATTCAGATGAATTCCATTAATTTTGTTTACGGATGAAAATCATTTGCGTTACAATGGAAGCTACATGAAAACTATTTTCGGTGTAGAATAGCATGTAAACAAACCTACACATGTAAACAAACCTACACTGAAAAAAGTTTTCACATAGTTTCCATTGGGAACGCACATGATATTTTTCCAATAACAAATTTAATGATTTTTATCTGAAATTCACATAACATTCACACGATCACATGAATTATATGTGATAAATAGACATATAAGATAAAACATAAACTTGATTGGACACATAAGGTTCATGTGATTTCGTGATGCGATTCCCAATTGTGAGATCACATGAAAGTTATGTGAAATTCTAATGGATATTTTCCATCGGAAATGTGATTTATTTTTTGAGTGTATTATTCGATTCACCATTCTGAAATGCCTTCCCGATACTGAAATTTGTAGCACAGAAACCAATACGGAAAACAAATGTCTATTACATTCAATGTAAGGTTGGATTTATTACATCCTCTGCATATGTTTCATACAAAAAATGTAATGGAAGTTCATTCACTAGACTACCGCGTACAAGCAAGTCTTCCCAGAATGCATATTTTGTATAAAACCTTCGCGCTATGATTTTATAGATGCAATGCATTTTGGGAATCAAGCTAATATAAAAATTACAAAATTATTTTAAAAACCTTCCGGAGACCACATTACAAAATCAATTCATGCCGCGAAACATTGCAAATTCGGCTTACTTTTCATACCAATCTGTAATCTTACATTTCCCGGTTGGGTGAACCAACGTATGCTGGAAACGGTGTGAACATTTTGTGGTGACATTTATTTTTGCTGGGAGTCTAATCTGGGGCAAAATTCGCTATTCCTGACTCATAACGATTATACGTTGCATCCGCAGGATTGTATGCTTCGTCTATTTTTTTTAATTATGCTATGTTAAATTAGACGAGGTATACGATCCCACGGATACAACGTATATTCGTTATGTCAGGCAGCACAGTAGAAGTCCACTACCTTATTTGCTATCCTTGACAGATACGAGTATTTTGTCTAAAATGTTCAGATTTCTTCAGTGTCTTGTACGAATACTTTGTACGTAGGATAATATATTCGGTAAGTTGCGATGGTTTCTTCATTTGTGTCAAAAAAATTAAAATAAAAAAACTACAAGGGACAGCCCTCTGGGGTTGTAAGCAATGGTGACGTAGGACTACGTGGTCTTATATAATAAATCTTATTTGTTAACTGCAGCAGGAGCTTGTGTTTTGTGTAGGAATAGGAATTTGAGCGGGGTTCTCTCTGTTTAAACTTTTTAGTATGACGTGCTTGACATAGATGGACCACAGCGACTCACGAAGAGCTACTGATTCTGATCAATAGCGGTGCAGCTTCGTCCTCTTTCTATGGATGCTCATGTGGACTGCAGCTCGCTGCTTGCAAGCAGCCTTTCGTTGTGTACTGGAGAACAATGTTCAACGCCACACGCTGAAATCACTGCTGCTGCTGCTACTGCAGCTGATGCCGACGACCGGACACCACCACACACGGTGATTGGAACTGAATCCGATCAGCGGTTGAGGTCAGCCTTGGTAGCTAGCTACTTGCGGAGAACCTTTCGTTGTGTACTGGAGAACACAACCACTAACAACGCGGTGATTGAATAAACACCGTTTAGTGAGACCGGATGGAATTCAACTCTAAAATCTGTGTTAGGGAAATCGCTTTCCGCAGATGATTGATGATGATTGTAACTATCATTGCAACAGTTGCACATTCGTGCAATTTTCAATAGTGATATTTTGATAAATGATAAAGTGTTAAATTTAACAGTTGCGTAGAAATATATCTGATCAATTGGTGATAAAATTATTGAAATTGGTTCAGGGGCAGCTGAGTTATTAACGTTCAAAATCTTTCATAATTTTATTACATGTTCCATTTTCGGTTTTCACAAAGTGTACTCCCATATAGAAATCACAGACGTAGTCCTACGTCAAAAAATACAGTTAACTCTCAATAACTCGATATTGAAGGGACCATCGAGTTATATAATTATCGACTTATATTGTTCGTCCATAATTTTAACAATAATCTCGAATTAATCCATCAACTACAATATTCGGTCCTATTTATCTATATTACTTCGAAAAATTGTTCACGAATGAATTTAGTAGTTTATCTATAATATTAAGCCAATATGAACAAAAATACAATAGGACTGTCATTTTTTGAAATTTAATTTGTCACATGAATAGTTCTGTTGTCAGATTTGGCTATTTGCCCCATGTGTATACAGTTCAATATAATCAAAAATGATTGAATCATTTAAAACTTATAACTGCTTCTAGACTGGTTTTGATCACTTTTCTGGGAGCATCTGGAACCTTTCTGGATGTGGCACTATCGCCCTGATCACTCAATAAATCGGTTTGATTTGCCTAATGATGGATTTTGGAATAATTTAAAGGTACGAATCATTTCTCCAAGGACACCATAAATATGTTCTGAAGTGACCGATGGATCCTGGGTACCCAATATGACCACCAGTTATCACATTTCCAAAGTTTCTTTGACTTTAACATCAAAATTACATAATTCTGAAGGTCTGTCTTTAACTATATTGAGCTATAGAATCAAAATAACACTAAACAGACCATCAACCAAAGGAGGCATCGACTTGTGGAAATATCGAGTACGGTACCGTAAAACGCATTATCTTGGATAATGCGTGTAACTTTGATTGTAGAATATAATGATAAAATTCACTCTCAACAATATTTCAGAATCAGAAACATTGATTCCATTTTGT